AATCTATTTTCCCAACACATTCCTCCAAAGAAGAATTAGCAGCCTGAAAGGTGTAAACACTTTCAGGATGTTTATTATTCATTGGTAGATTGCTCACAGCAGGCAACATTTTCTAATTTTTTAGCTCTCTCTTCAGTCCCATTCATCAGCTTAGACAAACAGACACACACCTACCTTAATGGACAAATTCTTCTCTTCTTTAGAACCTATTGCATTGTAGGTCCTATTGGGCCTAATGAGCCACTCACTCTGAGACAAAGAAAACTGAGGAGGATATGCTGTCTTGATCTGGAAAATCTACGCTAAAGGAGCTGAATGGATATAGCATTCTCAAATAATGTTTAGAGTTGTAGGAGAAACATATTGGCCTGGTGGCCCCATACAGCATCAAGGGAGGTGAATGCAGCCTCTAGTGTGTGAGGGCAAGAGAAAGAGGACAGAGGGCACTCAAGGAAGTATAACACTTATGCCATGGGACATTTATATTTTATAACCATAGTTTTCTAAATTGACTCTACTGGAAACCAGAGTCACCATCAATTGAACCCTCAGAGATGACCCCTCAGGACTTCTTTAAGCACTTCTTTATACCTATTTATGAATATACTTGCATCATAACAGTTAGAACATGAAGGACAGAGCAAGGACAGTTACGGTGCTGTTGCTCATCAGGCTACACACAGTGTCTAGTACAGAGCCTGGTACTCAACTGAGTCAGTAGTTAGAAACTTATCACACAGATGAATGAACACTGAAGCCACCAGACTTTTAGTCATTATCTCTGCACCTGGCTGGGTTCAAATGCTGCCTCTACAACTTATGGTGCCCATGAGAAAATCAGTTGGCCCAGCATAATTCCTGCCCCCAACAAGATCAGAATACTAAAAAGAATTCTTTATCAGTTTAGAAATTAAATGAATTAATGCATGTCCAAATGTCAATGGTGTTAGGCATTTGCAAAAAATCAAAACAAAGAAACAAAAGCAAATGTCCACAACAGTAGAGGAATTTACGTAGTTCAAAGGTATACAGAATTGATGCCAAGCCTCTTGTAGTAAGGAACTGACTGGGTAAAGGAAATCCTGAGGACATGACTTCTTTATACAAGCCCATTTACCTGTGCACTCGAACTCTAAATTTCTGTGGACAGCTTCCCATTACAAGGGTAGAATATTGACATCCCCCGGATGCTCACGACTGATTCTAAGAGCTTCATGCTGGAGGACTAAGTGGGTCTAATGCCCTGGTGAATTCATCTTTCACGCATCACTGTGTCATTTCTTCAAGTTCCAAGGACCAGTGCAAATGGGGAGATAATGGCCCTGACCCCGCAGTGCTCCTACTCCTGGATAGAGTGGACTTTTGCATTCCTTCTTTAGTATCGTACCACAAATCATCTCTAAGGCAATAGGTGTCAAACATTGCATTTAGAGGACATCTAGATGATTTGGAAACATGGCAGAGATAGTCTTGTTACAAAACGCCAAAGTAAATATTACACTATCAAAACAGTGTACTCTCATATCAAACCTCCTTGGAGGAGGTGTGACTATTCTTTTTTTTATATTCTCCAGTGTAAGTAGATGTCTACCTTTTGATTGCTATTTGTTCTATTTCCAAACACGAAGACATTTGTAAACACATTTCTCTACTAAACAAACATTCATGGTATGCTAAGCCCAGAGGAATTATGATGGAAGTTTAAGAACAAAACCCACAACAATATACAAAAGTGCTATGATATTTTAGGCCCTCAAGCAGGCAGATGGATATGGGAGATACTGAGGGGATTTCTGTGATTCTTTGGGAAGATCTCCTGCTCCCGAGAGGAACCAAACAGAACTGGCAAGGCATCACTCTCCCTCCAAATAGACAGGAGGTCTTTTGTGTGGAAATTTTTTTCCTTTGTTTTTCAATTTACACATTCAGAAAGTATCTGAAACACAAAAGAAACGAACAAGTATTTAGAAGCCAGTGCCCCTGCAACCATCATAGCCATTAAAAACACAATTATGCTCCCACCACTGTACCTGTCCTGTCCACCCTGTGTAGATTTCACCATCCTGAATTTTAACTGAATAATGTTGACTTTTACAATAATATATGAATTTCTAAACAAGAGTTTAATTTTGCCTATATTATAAATACTACTCCAGGGCTATAAATCAATCAGCTGAGAGAGGGACTAGCTGCATAGCCACTTACTTAATTTGTTTCAAGCAATTATAATAAAGGAAATATTAGCAAAGAGAAAAAGGAAAAAAATGAAGGAAAACATCCTTGCATTGTATCAGTCCTTTTAAATGAAATGCTTATCTCTGTAGTCATTTGTGTCTTGCTTTTACAGCTCAATAATATTTGTTTGTGATTTATCCAAATTGCCAGGCAATTCTGTTTGTTTGAATTTAGTTCTACATGAATACATGGTGACTTACATATCTGCCCTATTGTGGATAGCTATTGGAGTTATTTTCAGTTTGGAAGTATTGCAAACAGTGCTGTTTGGACCACTCCTGTGCTGCTATGATTCTGTATCACTAGTGATGTTGTCAGGAGGGGACATGCTGAAGATGGCAGTGTGCATTTCACACACCTAGATATGGCCAATCTACCCACCAAGGAGCTGTGAAGTTCACACCAAGACCAGCTGTCAAAGTTCTTTTTGCTCGACACTCTTTTCCACACTTGGAGTTTTTACTGATTTGTTGCATGTGCCATTTTATTTTTTCCATTTAAAATTAATTTCCACTTGTTACTAATAGGCTTGCTACAACTTAAATGTTTCATTGGATATTTGATGGTGATTACTTGCTGTTCAGAGGTTAAAATCCTAGACACTGGATTTTTTTGTCAGGATGGAAGGAAAGGGTCTCCCAAATAATTGTATAATATAATGAAAATAACTCACAAGATTTTATAGAAATGATCTCAAATCCCATTCTTGAGATTTGAGTGTGCAAATGATGAGTTTTGGAAAAAGAACAGGAAAAATCCATATATCCCATAGATTAACCTACATTATAAAGCTATGGCAATTAATGCTAAAAACTCCAGAGTACGAATATTAGTATATGAAGTTATTTAAATGATGATGAATGATTTTCAAATCAGCATGGGAGAGCTGTGATTTTATACAGAATTTCCAATTAATTACTTAATAAACTAACAAAAATAAAGTAAGGTCCTTTTTAAATATATGTTCAGTGAAAGTAGTGTAGAATTGGTATTAAGTAAAAATGAATATGATAATAAAGTAATAGGTAAACTTATCTAAGGTCTGGAATAAGAAGCTCTAGCTTAGAATAGCATCTATGACAGAAACCCTGACACTACACATGGGCCAGGTATGGGTCCCAGTCCTCCACACAAACATGAGTAGTTTGATCATATTAACAAGAGTCCTGGCAGTTAGGAGACAAAGTGAGGAGACTGCTGCATGTTTAAAGTCTGCTTCATAGAAAGTTCCAGGCCAGCCAGAGTGACATTGCAAGACTCTGACTCAAAAACTGAATCTTAAAACAAATCTTAAATCAAGGAGACAGAGAACTCGTGTACAGTATCACAACAAATAATACACACTAGGAGCTAGGATTTAATATCCCTGATACACAAAGTTGGGTATTATTTACATAATCACTAGGAAGCAAAAGTAGGGAAGAAAAACAGATCCAATAAGAAAATGAGCAGATTCTATGAAGAGGAAATAGATAAAAGGCACAGAGATGGATTTCAACATCAAAATGTGGTCCACTTCTACTGATCATTTGGGGAGGTTATGGTCCTGGTAACTGGGCACCGGTGAGGATGCAGGGAATTTCATGTGTTATGTTCTTCTCATACAAGTAGAAATCAATATGAACCTTCAGAGGGAGACATTATGATGTGTGACCTATAACCAGGAATTCTTTCTTGCAGTGTTAATTTTAGTTAATAAATAAAACTTATATATGTTCATTGTGTGCAATGCATTTTGAAATGTGAATGTAGCGTGAAGGGATAAATTGAAGCAACTATTAATTCCAACACATATTTATCATTTTTGACATTTATTGTGTGTGTGTCTGTGTGTGTGTGTGTGTGTGTGTGTGTGTGTGTGTGTGTGCACATTCCATTCCGTGACGTGAATGGGAAGGTCAGAGGACAACTTGTAGGAGTCACTTCTCTCTTTCTACTATGCAGCTTTCAGGGATCTAACTCATGTCTTCAGGCATGACAGTAAGCAACTTTACCTGCTGAGCCATCTTGTTGGCCCCTTACTGTTTTTTTATATTGATAAAACCCAAGGTTACTCTCAATGATCCCTAAGAGTACAAGACATTATTTTATATTTGATACATCACAAACAAATAATGCAGCTGATGGGAATGATTCTACTAACAAGATTTCTATTGTAAAGTTATATTTCAAAATGGGAAAGAACCAAGTATTCAACAACAGAGGAAACCAAACACATCTTGTGGTGCACTTTGATCTGCAGCACATGGTACAGAATGCTAGTTCTATTCACTGACGTGGAAAAATGAACAGTGTTAGTTGTCAAACAAGACTCAAGCTCTGTGGGCAGAGGGAAGAGGGTGCCATTTTCAGTAGAGATGTGTTGACTGACTTGAACCAAGGACATCAGATGGCTTAGAGCCGTGGTTCCCAAGCTTCCTAATGCTGAGACCCTTTAATACAGTTCCTCATGTGGTGGTGACCCCTCAACCCTTGCTACTGTTATGAGTTGTAAAGTAAACATATTATATGCAGGATATCTGATAGATGACCCCCATGGAAGGGTCACTATACCCCTCTCCCCAAAGAGGGCAGGACCCACAGGCTGAGAACCACTGGCTTAGACCATGCTCCTAGACCTTCCCTGGACCTGTGTCATACTTGTTCAGATTGCTCACCTCTACAATGGAAACAGCAACCGTTATTGCTTTACAGAATTGCTTTCAGAGTGAGTGATCCAAGGCCTGCTCCCA